GCTTCAGCAGATATTTCCTTTGCAACATCACAACCAACAATTGGTCCAGTTATCAACGCTATTTTCAAGTTTTGAACAACTTGACTTTCAAGATCTACATATCTACATGTGCCAATGTTTCTGTTTATCAACGTTATATTTTAAGATCTGTGCAAGAACTCAGCTAACACATGTTTCCGCATATAAAAGCTATATTCAACATTAGCTTCTATTAACCAGGCTAAAGTTAACATGTCTTGCAGTGCACTACCTGCTTTACATCAGCTTCTGTTAACAAGGCTAAAGTTCAACACGTATCTTGCAGTGCACAATCTACTGTACATTAGCTTTTATTAACCAGGCTAAAGTTCAGCACATATCTTACAATATACAACCTACTTTATATTAGCTTCTATTAACCAGGCTAAAGTTCAGTACATATCTTACGATATACAATCTACTTTACGATAGCTTCTATTAACCAGGCTAAAGTTCAGCACATATCTTGTAGTGCACAACCTACTTTATGTTAGCTTCTATTAACCAGGTTACAGTTCAAAAGTCAGTACTTCAGTGTGTCAACTTTCATCATATGGAGTAATGATCCTGCAGCATGTTTCTTGCTTCAATTATACACATTGTATACGACTAAGTGATACCAGTAATGAAGAACGGTAGAGGTAGTAAGATGGAATGGTTCTGTTCTAGCTAATTTAAATTTGTCTACTGACAATAGTTAACTCTTTCAGCATGGGCTTGGTCCCTGGGACCAACCTTGTAATCATTTTGTGCTTGTTATAGTTTTCACGCTATAACATTTAAATTAGTAAGCATATGTTCATGAAGTTTGGCCGATTATCAGTATACATTACAATGCTTTCATACATAAAACATCAATTTTTTTTATTAAGTCTTAAGGTTTGTTAAACAACGTTTTTCTCATGCCTTTTTTTTTCTTTTCACACGTTGCCTATCCACCATGCAAAGTAATTTTCATTTTAAGATTAAAACTACTTTTATGCATCAGAAAAATTTCAAATTTCACATGAAAAATCTTTATAATGTCCAGATAGTTATCAAACGTTTCTTAAGAAAAAACTATATTTTATCTGTTATTTTCACTAACGAATCTCTGTACGGGTTTGGTAGATTTGACTGATCTTGTAACCATCATAAAAAATTAGGAAATAAATATAAATTCTGCCTCTTTCATTCTAGAATGACAACAAATTACAACACAAATACGTAAATGTTTGGACTAAATACCCTAAATCTCATAACATTATACATTTATATATCTTTGTTATTTTTATTATATTGACCTTTCAGCCATGCCTGGCTAACAATACAGAAGTTACAATGATGCGGCATACATGCTCTCATGTTACTGTATCCAATAATATAAAACTGACCTTTAGTCTTTACAAAATACCATCTTGGTTGTGTTTTAGTAGACTAGTATTTTGTTAAGTACAGTCACATTTTAATTATACTACATTATATATGTATATAGATTATTATCATTTAGAAATAAGTTCTTAAACTCATTTTTCGTAAAACATAGAACAGTAAATAAAGAAGTAAAGCAAACAATTATCTCTTCTAGTTATGACCTTTGTACTAGATTGCTAAGCCTTTTACAATTTAGCACATGGAGGATATGAAGTGAAATAACTTTTTTAGGTTTTATAAATACAGTTGAATAACCAAAAAATCATAAATTACTATACTGATACCACAGAATTCCACTATAATTTATCAAGCTTAGTAACCTCCTTGAAACCTTGGTTTGAAAGAACAAGATGGTGTCCTAACATTTTAAAATGGCTGAGAAAGCCACCAGGGGGCCAGTTTGAGCTTCCGATTTGTTATTTTCGTCATATATTGCAGTAAGTGTATATAAGAAACCGTTTCCAAAAATGAAAAGAGGTGAGCGAGGCCACTGTGCTTGCTTTAGTACATGAGCGATATCTCAGCAAATAGAAAAGATATGAGGTTCTTATTTTATATTCTAGCTTGTCAATATCAGTAATTTGACATCACAAACATTCAATTTGAACCAGTGCTTCATTCTACATACCACATGACACAAAAAATCAATGTTTAACTGTGTTTTTTAAATATTTACTTTTAAATTAAG